AGCCTGGCCCATGACAGCACGCATAGGAAATTCAAGCGGAATATTCTGACAATTAAACTCAATAGTCAGAAGACTAGGCATAGTGCATGGCAATTTTCCAAAAGAGGCTCCGTGTGAGCAAGTCTCGCAAGCAGGAACATAAAGTCAAAAAAATTACATCTCATGTATGCAATGACAGTAAAAATAAATACTTAACAGAGAGATGATAATTGTTTAAAACAGAATTTATGTTCATTAATAATAAATCTGATTTAACTGAAGAGAACATATGCATCTAAATTAACAGGAGTTTCTCACTACTGAGATGTATGTAACTTGTCTGTGAGGGAGAGCCACACACAGATTCTCAGTCATTTTGGCATAGATACATTTTAGGAAATAAACTTAGATTCGCTATTACTCAGAAAAGATAACTTAGTGGTCACTGACCAAAGCTTGTTTTCAAAATATTAGCAGTACCTCTTTTCCATTTCTGCAATATTTCTTGTCAGTGTAGTTATTTTTAACATTCCAAGGTAGGGCATTGCTTTTGCTTCAGTGGGGAAATGCATCAAGCTGTTGCGTCACAGACTAGTTTGAATCACTGCACACTACCAGTTTGGTTGATCTTATCTGGCAAGGTAGCTGGTATTTTCCAATTAGATTCAGCATCCTTTGACTTGCAAGGAGGAAGTCATCTGATGGACTAACAATTCCTTGAGAGCACTGCAATATCCCTGCTGGAAAGTGCACGCATGTGAATGTGCAGATGAAAACTACATTGAGCTCGGCTTTGATGATTTCCTTAGTAAAATAACATGTTTGCACTTGTTGCCTTGGCCCACACTCAAAACACAAAAGCCTACTAAGCAAGGAAGAAGGCATCACCGCTAGCATTTCACCTCATTTTCAGTATGCTGGTCTACATTTACTCATATTTAACAGTATTAACCATTTGGAGCCAGATCCCAGAATTAAAAAAAGCAATGTATGCCACACAAGATTTGTGCTCAGATTTCCTTCCTAAAGGATGCTTCACATTAAAGGAAAACGTTCACTGTCAATAATGACAAAACACTGTTGGTGAAATGATGCGTCCTTCAAACATGCACACAGTTTATACAACCAGACAACAAGTCAGATTTCTTCACTATTTACTACTTTTGTAAATTTATAAAAAAAACATGTCTGGCACCAACAAACCCTCCTCTGGAAATATCAAATCCTTGCCCAAGCAGCCATTATTCCTCAGCTTTGTCAGTGAGTGTCAGGAGACCATGAGAAGATGCAACTGTGGGAAGGTTGTTAGGTACAATAAAAAAACTCAAAAAACCTGTGCACTTCCAGCTAGGGTCATGAGGTGGTGAACCAGCATGTGAAGACTGGATCATTTCCTCTTCATATCCATTGCTGCTGTGATCAATCATAGCACCTTAATGATTGATGGATGGTCTCTCAATTCAAGGATGGCATTGACTAAGTGTCATGAGTTTCTGCCAAAAATCTTCATGCGACTAAACAGGTTTATTCTTGACTGACAAATCTTTGAGCATGTGGGGCAGGACATCCCTTGAAGTGGTGGGATCTGGAGGATTTATTTCCTTTTCTTTCCTTCTTTGCAACTGCTCTTCTCATCACTGAGACGTTGTGACTCAAAGCATGATGTAGTTTGATGGACTAATAGTCACTATTGATATCAAGCTACTCCCATTCAATAATGTCAATGCTGCTGCACTTTATGGATAGCTTCAGAGCATCTTTGAAGCATTTTCTTGGTCATATACTAGAACTTTAGCCATTGGAGAGTTGAAAAAACAGGACCTGGTAAGAGAAGCTCATTTTGGCTATCCGAATACAGTCGTCCAAATCATCAAAGGTCAAATTGTAGGAGTTTTGCCTGAATGCTTTTGAAGCTTGCTTCGAAGAGGGCAATTGCATTTGTTCATTGGTCTACCTGCATAGATGGAATTTCTCTAGTGCTCTTATTTGTCACTGATACAGTGCAGACTTCACTGCAGTATAGGAATGTGGCAACAGCCTTTGATTCCTTTAGTCCTAACTCACTCTTGACAAGTCAATGTCGATTCAAAAATACCAAATTACAGTGTTTAAAGTTTTAATTATTTGACTACAAACAGTGTGGTTCGCCAGCCATGAGAAAGTGAGACATGTATTTTTAGATACCTTTTCTAGCCCTTTGGAGTGAGTAGAGATTATGCTGGAGACAACTGCTCTGCCACAGATGCTGCTGCAAAAGAAACTTATTCCAACAGAAAGAGATGTCCACCAATCTTCACACATTTGTCACCTATCTGCAGATTCTTGACTACAAGGACTTCCAGATTCATGGCCCGGTCCCCAGTTCTTTACTGCCAGAGGACTTGGTAAATACACCCTGGTAGAAATCTACATGTGACTTTGTTCAACACTGGATGTCATCATTGTCTACACAATCTTAATGGGTTGGTGGTCCACATCGAAACATGATGACCCATATCACTTTGCCACTGTTGGTCTCTTCTCAGCTGTTGAGAGGCAGCGTCTTTCTTCATCTGCTCTGTCATCAAGGACTTCTTGCACTACACTTTGTCTGGCACCTCCCCCACACTTTGCTGACCTTCTCATTATGGGTGGCCACAGCAAGTCTCAACACCATCCTTAACAAAGCAGCCCACTTGACTGTCACCCCATTCCAGCACCTTAAACATTCACTGCCTTCACCATGACACACAGTGCAGTAGAGTGTACCACCAATAAGATTTATATCAGCAAGGTTAACTCACCAAATCTCCTTCAAAAGCACTCTCCAAATCCATGACTTCTACCACTTAGAAGGTCAAGGACAGCAGATACGTGGGAACATCATCACCCTTAAGCTTCCCTCCAAGCCACAGAACATCCTAACTTGGAAGTGTATCACTGTTCCTTCAAATTCGGTAGGTCAAAATCCTGGAATTCCTTTCCCAACAGCAATATGGGTGCATCTATAACCCAACGATTGCAGCAAATCAAGTACCACCTTCTCCATGGCAATTAGGGATGGGAAACAAATGCTGAAACATCAACTTTCCTGCTCCTCTGATGCTGCCTGGCCTGCTGTGTTCCTCCAGCTCCATACTGTGTTGTCTCTGACTCCAGCATCTGCAGTTCTTGCTATCTCTGGACCAGCCAGTAATGCCCACATCCCATGAAGGAATAAAAAAGAGCTCCCAATGCCATTGTTCAGGAGATTATCAGGATATACAAGCCTCTCCACAGAGGAAACCACAGAGTATCACCTTAATACCACAAATCAAGAACACACAGGTCTGTATAAGCCAGATACCTGGACTACCTTGGTCTTTAAGGCTTAGTTATCCATGTAATAAGCCAGGAAAAGAATTTATGATGAAGTAAGTTCAGAACTGAATCAATGTGGGGGTTTAAGTGGGATAGCACAGCAGTGATCAATCATACCCCACATCATAATTTTATGAAACAAAAGCAAAGTACTGTAGATGCTGGAAATCTGAAATAAAATGAAACAAAAGTTCTGAAAATAATCAGTGGATTGGGCAGCAACTATGGAGACAGGAACAGAGTTAATGTTTCCATTTTGATGTGAGGTCATTGACCTGAAACATTAACTCTCCTCCTTCACCACAGATACTGTCCTACTTGCTCAGTATCTGCTGAGTATTTTGTCATCATTTTGGGGTACAGGTGAGGCAGATATGGCAGACTCTGGGCTGGTCACGTTCCTCAGGCCCTGTCACAACAGACTAAGCTGCGGCTGCAAGGGGAGAGGGAGACAGAGTGGAGTAGTTCATGTTTGATGCTATTTTACAGATGATATGTGGAACAGCCCAACCAGTAGGGGCCCAGGCTTTCTTTGTATGGCTAGAGGTGCTTTCCAGCTCCTGCTGAGCATTACAGAGAAAAGTTTCTAATACTTAACTTAGAGTGTCTCCCCTCCTTACTCACTCAGTATAGAGTTAATGCACAATTGGAGACTTAATGGCAGCTTTACCTACCAGTGAGGTTCGCACCTAAGTCAGGCAGACACCTTGGGTAGTAGGGTGATCAACTGCCCCGGATTTTCTGGGACTGTCCTGTAATTTGATGGGTTTTTTTTGTCCTGTTTCCTGGGTCAGGCCTTCCTGGGATGTGTTTTGCCCCAGATTTCTTCATTAATGTTTGGCCCTCCTTCTGCATGTGCTGGATGCCAATTGTTATCAGGGCTGTAATGTGGCTGACCTGAGCCGACACAAAGCAGCATTAAAGGCAAATGCGGGTTGCAGGGTCCCAACACCATCCACCCCCCCACGACCCATCCCACACCCCCACCCCACTCCACAGGTCAAATCTCAGGACGTTGCTGGCGGGCCATCTTGCACCCCATCCCCACCTCTGGCTCAAAGGGTTTTGACAGCAATACATTGTCTTCCTTTGCCCTCAAGGCTTCATCCACATCCCACCTTACCCCCCACCAAGGAGAGCTGTCCCTTATTCTTTGCAACTAGATTGATCACCATGTGCACATCAAAAAAACAGAATGGTCCAGTTAAAATGGCAGTGAGCAGGAATCAAGCATGGCCATTTTATCTGCCTATATGCCCAATTCCTCATTCAGTCATAGAGTTATACAGCACGGAAACAGACCCTTCAGTCTAACTTCAGTCCATGCCGACCAGATACCCTAAATTTATCAAGTTCCATTTGGCGCATATCCCTCTAAACTTTTCCTATTCATGTACCCATCCAGATATAATTGTAATTATACCCACCTCCACCACTTCCTCCGGCATTTCATTCCATACACGCACCACCCTCAGTGTGAAAAAGTTACTCCTCAGGTCCTTTTATAAACTTTCCCCTCTCACCTTAAACATATGCTCCCTAGTTTCAGATTGCCCAGAGGTAAATTAAAATCTAACCCCCACCCCACCCTTCCTCAATGCTTCAGTATATTTTGTATGTGTTTTGAATAGTGTTGCTGGGCTCTCTGTTATGAAAGGCGCTACGACCAGACAAAGACTCACCTGGTTCCTTATCTGCACGCTTGTTGCTGGTGTGAGATATTTGTGTTCTAGATACCAAGCCCGTTCTTGGTAAAGGAGGTTAGTTCCATGCAAAAGGCAAAACTGTAAAGAAAAGCAAATAAATAAATACAAAATTGTCACTTGGAAACAAGCTTTTATGATACTGAGGTAATGTTATTTTTGATAAACAATCTGACAACACCAGGAAACTTGATAGCAGCATGCTGCATCATTTTATGAAACTAACAATCTCAGAAACACACTGATTGACTCACTGCTTTTCCTGAACTTTATCAAATAAAAACACAAGTACAGGAGTCCAATTAAGGTCTTGCCTTGCAAGTTTAATTGTCCCCTTTATAGATACCTTTGTATTATGGACTGTTGCAGCATTAAGATAAAAGACAGGCAACCTTTCATGTGGACCTCTTCATTCTTAACCCTCAGTGTCCCCTGACAAATCTAACCAGGCAGGTACACTCCTCTGTGGTCCATGATGTGTCAACTTGTCTGGCAGCAGGCATTTACTTGTTTAAAGAAAGAACTTGCATTAATTTAACAACTTTCATCACATCATGATATCTCAGGACTTTAATTCCAATGTAATTCTTTTTAAATGCTGTGCTATTGTAATGTCGGGAATACAGGAGCCATTTACTCAAGCAGTGGTCTCATAAAGACAGATGTGATAATTACAAGGTAATATGCATATTATTTCTAATATTGGTTGGTGCATGATTACTGAAGAGGACATTTGGAGATCTTCCCATTTCTTCCTCAAAGCAAGGGAGCTACATTCACCTGAAAAAGACAACTACACTTTGGTTTAATTTTTCACCCAAAAGAATGTACCCACAAAAGTACAACACTCCCTCGTGTGCTTGGCTGGATCATGTCTTCACTCTTTAATGTGGCAAAATGTGTTTAAATTTTCTTTCCTCCATTTATTAGTGGCAAGCATTCATTGCAATTCCCTAATTGCCTAAGAGATGGTGGTGGTGACGAGTGTTCTTGAACTCTGCAGACTGTACGTTGAAAGTACAGTGTTAGGAAGGGAGTTCTAGGATTCTGACTCAATGGCAGTGAAGGAATTGTGAATAGATGTGAACACTTTTCAATTGTTACTGAATATTTCCACTCCTGATCTTGTTGGAAGAGAGGTCATTGATGAAGCAGCTGAAGCTAGCTTCAGAATATATCCTTAGGAACACCTATAGAAGTCTTCTGGGGCTAAGATGAATGACCTCCAAAACCCACAATCATCTTCCTTTGTGTTAGGTACGACTTTGACCAGAGGAGAGCTTTCCTCCTGATTCCAATGATTTAAATTTTGCTGTGAGTCCTTAATGCTGCATCTGGTCAAGTGGTGCCTTGATGTCATGTACAGTCACTTTCACCTCACCTCTGGAATTCAGTGTTTTGTCCACATTTGGTCCAAAAATGTGATGAGCTCTGAGCCTAAAGAGGCCTGACTGAACCTTAAGTGAGTATTGTTAAACATTCTCCATCATTTTCTACTAACGGAAATATATGTGGTGGTAACTGTCTAGACAGGGCATATTTGGGCAACTTTGTCAGTTAGATTCCAGAGTTGTAGCTTTTCTGAAATAGCGGTACTACGCGGGATTATGACTTAAACTGAAACACTACAGCTGGGACATTCTTAATTTGAAAACAGTCTTAATGGTGAAGGGAGAATTCTGGAATGGAACTCAAAGGTTGAAACTCCAATACAGGTTGTGGAGCAGAGGTATCGAGATGCAGATGGAGTAGAGTTGGTTGACTGTAAGCCCACATCTATGACAGTACTCAGAAGCACTTAACTGTTTCTCGATGAATGATTACTAAACACATTTGGAAATCTAATTTCCTGATATTGTATGGAGTTAATCAAGTTGGCTTCAGTGATGAGGGGGACCTTTGGATGGATTGTCCACTTAACATATCTGGTTGTTTCAAATCCCACCCGTACGATGGCTCAGTTCATAAAGACAGGACGTACACTGAGTTTACCGATCCTAGCTCACTGTCGAGTTAGCTGAACCCATCTGGAGTGGTGTGAGCAGTTTCCTTAGGGAATAAGGAAAATCAGCTGTAGCTCATGGTCATGATTGATGTCCAATGATCATTTCCTCACAAACTCACATCCTGGAAATTGTATGGATTTGAACCAAAATATGAAATTATTTCCCAACGATCATGTCTAAGTTAAGCAGGAAGGAAGAATCATTACCTGGACGCAGAACCTATCAAACTCCATTGCAATGGAGGAAGAGGTGTTAAATATAGCAAGAGAAAAAAACAATTAGTGTTGTAGATGTCAGTGTAATTAAGTTTTTGGATCGGTTATTTAGTTTGCTAACAATTTCAGTCAGTTTTCACTTGTACAAATGGGTCTATTTATAAGCTACCATCTCTGTCCATACCAACCTTCGCTGGATCTTCCCCAAACACTGATCTTATATATCCTTGCTCTCACATTTACAACTTGGACTGTATATAGTATAGAATTTAATGGCGCACTTTCCTCAAGCACTTTCAGAAACAGATCAGCAAGGGCTAGATTGTATTGATCACTGAACAAGGAAGTGTTAATAGGTTATTTAAATTACAAAGTTATCATTTACAAAAGTGACAATGACTCTTCTGAGGGAGCAATGACTTTAACATCAAGTAGCTAACTCTCACAAAACGGAGGCTTTTGTGCGGATGCTATTTTCAGTTAAATTCCAGAGATTACTTTCAGTAAATCACGACCCTCCTATACAGAGGCAGATTTATGGATCTTGAGACTCTGGGGCTGTTTTTAGGACAGGGCTAGGGCTTGGCTAACATGCCAGTTTCATGGAATCCAAATTGAAGCAGTGACAGTATAATTTTTGACGTTTTGCCTGCACAGACAGAATTTATCATTGCCCTTGCATGGCAGGAACACAATAATTCGCCCTGGTGTCTCCAAACAGATTCCTCATCCTTGTGACTACTGAAGGAAGGACTAGATTCTGCTGGGCCCTGATACTGCCAACAGTATAACAGCCTGAAAATATTCACCAACAAGGTCCTACCAGGGTCTAAGAGATCACACTATAGTCATATTATTACTGTCCCAACTGAAGTCAGTGCATACAATCATAGAATGTTTACAGCACAGGAGGTGACCATTTGTCTGGACAGGCTCTCCCAAGAAAAATTCTATCAGTGCCACTCCAATGACTTTTCCCCATACCCTGAAAATGTTTCCTCTTTGGTTAATGATTCCATTCTGTTTTGAAATCAATGAATGAGTCTGCCCTCAATACAATCCAGGCAGTGCATTCCAGATCCCATCCACTTGCAACAAAAAAATAAAGCTTTTCCTCAATATCAGTGTTGCTGCTTTTTCCAATCACTTTAACTGATATCCTCACCTTCTCAAACAATTATTCCTTAAATACTCTGTTCAGGTCCCTCAGTATTTTGAGAACCTCTGTCAAATCTCCTCTCAACCTTCTCTTCTTCAAGAAAAACAGCACCACATTGTCCAATCCATCCACTCATTGAAGATCTTCATCCTTGGAACCATTCTCATGAATCTTTTTCACATCCTCTCTAATGCCTTCGCATGATTCCTGAAGTGCAATGTTTAGAACTGGACATAATGTCCCAGTTGAATCCAAACTCATGGTTCATACATGTTTATCATAACTCCTTGCTTTTATGCACTCTGTCCCTATTTATAAAGATCTGAAGCCTGTTCTAATAAAACATTTTCAAAATGTCCTGCAATCTTTAATGCGTGCATCTATCCCAAGGCCCTTCACCCTATTTAGAATATGACATTTATATGGCATCTCCCAATTTTTCCCAACAAACATATTACTTCACAATTCTCTGCAATAAATTTCATTGTCACTGATCTGCCCATCTGTTTTGCAAGGGCAAAGGAACCTACTTGGGTCTTTGTTGACCTACAAAGATTTAGATAAAGAACAATTCTGAGGAAGGGTCACCAGACCTGAAACGTTAACTTTGATCTTTCTTCACAGATGCTGCCAGAGCTGCTGAGCTTTTCCAGCAACTTCTGTTTTTGTTCTAGATAAAGGACAGACTGTTCTGTCTGCTAAACTAAAAATAAATTTTAAACTGTTCCCAGGCAATGTAATTCAAGCATTTTGAATGAAATGGGACAATCTTGTGCAGGTGGTTTTAGATATTTTCCTAATCAATCTGTTCAGAGGTGTTATGACACACTTATGGAGCAGGTGGGACTTGAACCCAGGCCTTCTGGCTCAGATGACACTGGTTGTATAATTACTACTAGACCAGTTTTTCACTGAACTTAAGTTTCAACATCTGCAATGTGGGATTCCGTGCAGGTGGCTTTACACTTCCCTAAACTAGGTTCAGCTGACTTCCCACACATTAGATCACAGGTTAATGCCCTTTGACCCATTTGATCTCACTTTTCCAGAATACTAACACTGCCTTCTTTCCATTACAGCTCCCAGCTGTTTACTAAACTAAATCCAGCCTCAACCTATTACAGACTCACCTACTGTAATGCCCTTCCGACGGTTATCCATTCTGCCGATCTCCGTAAACCAAACTTCAAATGAAACGCTGCTGCTCATATTCTAACTCTTGTCTTGCTGTACAGCCAAATATGAATACCAGTTCAGGTTTACTTTCTCCATTCCATTACACACCAGGAAAGAGGGTATTGACTTCTGATGCCAGGCTAGGCTCCTACCTGTTGCAGTTTAGAGAAGTAAGACAGAACTTGATTGAAAAAGTTCTTGGGGGTTTTGATGGGGTAGATTTTCTGCTTATGGGAGCATCTAGAGTTTGGGTTCACCATTCAAGTACTTCTAAAGGAGAAATTGCAGGAAAGTGAGAATGTGGACTAATTAGATCAACCAAAATCTTATTGAATAGCAGGGCAAGCTTGAGGGACAAATGGCCTAATCATAGAATCCCTACTGTGTGGAAACTGGTCCTTCAGCCCAACAAGTCTACACCGACTCTCACAGCATCCCACCTAGACCCATCACCCTATAACCCACCTAATCTACACAGCCCTGAACACTATGGGCAATTTAGCATGGC